CACTCATTTTGCTTTACAAAGCTCAGGTTAGCATTATACTTGAATACTTCAGTCATGTGTGGGGTGGAGCTTAGTTAATCTCTCTTTTTGTTCTTGATCGGGTTCAACGTCTCATCAACGACCCATCCCTAACATGTAACTTGCAGTCACTAACTCACTGTCGGGCAGTCGCTTCTTTATCCTTAATCTATTGATACTACTTTGGATTTGGCTCTAGTGAACTTTCCGCTTGCTCTTCCTCGTAGCCTTCGAGCACAAGCGGTTAGCCACCCACTTCGAGTGATTATCCTCAGGTGTCTAACTTTAGATGAGTTTTTTCTGTAGAACAGTACAACTGTGGAACACTTTCCTCCTTCCCTTCACAGTATAAACATCTTTGCCTTTAAACGCAGAATCAACGAGTTTGTTCTAGTTTGAATGTTCCCTTTACCTTCCCATGTTTAGCATATCCTCGGATCATGGGGTTTACCCCTTTCATTGTATTCACTTTCGTGTAACAAAAAAGGTTGCTGGGTATTGAAAGCACGAAAATATCGCACCGCGTCAAGCTGCAGTTCTATCACAGTGGGATTCAGTGATGGGGCATATACAAACCAAATGCTAACCTCGATGAACAGAATGAAGTGAATCTGCTATGGGATATTTGTTGAACTTTCGAGTATGGTATCGTAATATGTATTTACAGAACTTTTGCAAGTTTATAAGCCGGCATTTCAGTTAAAAAGATAGTTACACTGATAACAAACAAGAGAAACAGTTGTGTAGGGGAAGATAAGGATGGTATGAGTTCACAATCATAGACTAGCAACTGAGCTGAATAAACTCCGCTAATAACTAACGTGTAATTCACGTTCAAATATATCCATCCGATCCACAAATCAGAGCAGATTGCAACTGTACCAGTCCTACAAGTTTGGATGATACTTGATCTGAACGAATGGATCTACATGACTCAAAGTTGCACAGAGGATCTTTGAATTTGTTCAAGATTGTGAACCCTTCACAAACAGTGAATGAAGACATCTATTAGTCTGAAAGAGTTTGTGGTAGTGTCAATAGCTTTTCCCTGATGATCTATTTGGTACACTGTTAGGTGATATTGATCTCTCACAACGATAGGGTAGCGAGGTTTCCTCTCGATTACGCTTCAGCACACGTAGAAAATGTACCCCTTGGCATCGACAAGCCGTCAGCGACTATGTACGTACATTTACTGGTCTGCTCAGGAAAACCATAGGCGGTTTGAGAAATACATGACGATCGGAGAATCCTACTCAGCTTTAACGTGGCGGTGTTACGGCCGAAGTGAGAGCGCAGAAATCCACCATTCGAGGCTTGGGGAATCAACTCATCCTGAATCTGGTATCCACCGCCAGCCAATGGGCTCATAGGAACTAGTCTTCACAAATCGCTGTCATCATCATCATCGCACAGCGAGATACAGTGAATCGCTCTGCCCTGTTACGGAGCAACTAAATAGGCGATAACGGCCTTTGTGAGTTTCCAAGATGGTTATCTACTTTAGATTGGACCGCCTAGCAGCATTACACTCAAATGAATCAGGACCCGGTCCACAAGCATACAATCTAAACTCAGGTCAGTGTAAAATATATATTAAAGAGAAGTTTCGGCATTCCCAGCAAAATAAAGCAGTGGATGAGATGACCGTTAGTACACACAAAGGACACCTTTGAGACGGGAAGTTCAGTATCATTTTACACCAGTATTCTCCATTCACAAACCAGAGTGCTCGTGAGTATCCGTTGCGTTTAATTGTTTGTAAAGGGCAATGAATCACAAACCAAAACCTCATATGCACACGAGAACGAGATATTCGAGGAAAAGCGACTAGTTGTTGGTTTATCTGTATTACTATTTTGTCGTCACAATAAAAGTGGTTTCTGTGATCTCTCATTATAATCGGTAAGAAGGTACAGTTTTTGTTCTTTTGATGTGCGCTTATAATAGGACAGTAAGGCGATTGGAATAAACAAATGCCTTCAGGTCCGTCAAAAATCACCACCGACCGCCAGATCGGTTGCAATGATTTTAAAAGTGGCAAATCAATGGACTGCTACAGGATGAATTTAGAATAAAAAGTGCAGGTGGAATGTTCTCTTTGTACTATTTGGTTGAAGTCACCCAATGATCGGTGAAATGTGGAGATACAACATGCTCATAGTCAGCGGCACACATTCATGTGTCTTACACAAGTCTTAAACACTACGTGACAGTTTTTTCATTGTTACTTGCTTGAATTTAATATATAAAGATACAATTATCAGAAGAGAGGAGACTGCTATACAACATATAGTGGAGAAAGTCAAGCGGTAGGATTCAAATACATTCGGGGTAACGTTACCATCGGACCAGCTGTATCGATTAGCAGCGGCATTGCGTTATGATCGCTAGCGCACCGAAATACAGGTTGGGAGTACAGAATCACTGATACACACTAAAGGAACCTTAGCATTGAAGAAAACGAGGCGAACAGGAGGAACGCCAACGACCGGAGATAGGTCATGGAATGTCGAATTGTTATCAATGTTTCGTGCTACAGGATAAGAGTGTGAACTACAAAGTTACCTTGAGGTTCCGAAAACAGCGTCTGCATCTGGAGCACCTTTCGGATGATTATAGCGCACCCATCGATCCCGATTATCGTTCACTGGAAACTGATGAGCCAATACAGCATCTTGACTTCCGAAATGACCTGAAAGATGCAAGGGAGTGGGAATCATGTTTTCTGTGAGTTCATTTCCAAGCAATAACAACCAGTTTTATCTCAACAGGAGAACAGCTAACCGTCTGAATAAATTTGGGATAAAGAAAAAGTGTGGGTGAGATTTAGATCTCCAGAATTTGCTCGTGAGTACTGAGAGGTGACAAAAGCGGCCACATTCGGTTGTGTACTGCTGATCTGTCAACTGAAGTGGGCCGAAATCCAGCATAATCCGGTCTTAGCCAAGGAGGTTGGAGTGCCCGGATCAACTTTTATGGCACATACATACCAGGCTAAAGAAGGTGGGTTACAACGGTCTCAACTCGTTTCGTGATTTAAAATTTATCACTTTGATCTGTTAGCTTCATTTCTTTACCACGTCAACCAGTGGTAGACAGGTTTGCTGTCGCCCGGTTTTATACCAGCGAGGTTGTATGTAGTTGGCCCCTCCAGGTCTCGGCCTTAGGTTGCGGTTTCCATCGCTGAACAACAGATCTTCGCAACTGCTGTTCATCAAAAAAAATACATGCAGTAAAAAAGTATTTGGACACATTGGACTACACGCTAATTTCCAGGATACACAGCTCGGAATTGAATTGGTTATGCAACAGCACGATTGTTTTGCAGTATTCCAGTCTCCATGTTTCCCGATTCAAAAAAAGAACAAAACGAAAACCGTCTGGATGAAGGCTTTGAATTACGACTCCTTTATGGTTGCAGGCAAAGGAAAGACATACCGTTGTTTTAAACCGATGTGAATTACCGCCCACCAAGGTTTGTCTGTTGTTGTTCCGCAGTCTCACACAATTTTTGATACTTATTGTCAGATACCGTTTGTTTGGAGACCGAGAAAGAGCACAAAGGCAGCTCTTTCATCCCTGTTCTAAGCGGTATGCGATTTCGGGTACCAAGGTATTCAGGAACAATGTTACAATATACGGTATAATTTGCTTTTACCTTATCATCTTTTTAACCATTTTCCACATGGGGTTTAGTTCTTAAGCATTCATTGTAATTATTATCACATACCTTAGTGTGATGAAAAACAGACAGCGAGAGCCCCATCCTCACCAAGACCTGTTGTTCAGTGATGGAAACTGGCAACCGTGAGTGGTGAACCACGTAAGGCCAAGCGGCCTATTTGAACGAAAACCCCTGGACTAGTTTAGACAATTACGTCCAAAAATCTTCACAATTTTGGATCAACGATGAACGTGATTCGTCATTAGATTATACGGGTTTTTTGCTGAGAGACGATTGAATACTATGTACCATTTTAGTGGTGATGACGTAGCTCTTGCTGAGGGGGTGCTTTGCACACCATACGGAGACGTGTACGTATCTACATCAATTGATTACTGGGACAGTGACAAGCACAACGAACGAGGTCCTAAAAGGTAGAAATTATAGTGTATGGTCTGACTAACTGANGATTAGGATTAACAGAACGTGAACAGGCGATAATTCACTCACCCCATTCCATTTCTTCTTCTTTTTGAGCCTCGTGCATTTCCAGCACCAGTTGCTTCATGCGTGCTTTTTCTTCCCGTTCCGCAGCTTCCGCCTGCATAAATCGGGCGGCAAACTGAACCGTTTCGGGAACAGCCAGTGGGACCATGTGCGGTCGGTTGCNTGAACATGACGGTATTCTACACACGTGTGAGTGGGGGAGGATGCAAGAGAGACCAGTTGTGAATCAATGTACAAACACATTTAATACGAAAATCTTGAATCGCGATGACAACGTTTGGAAGAATTAAAACAGTGATCGAGTACTTACGTGGTAGTAATGCTTCTACCAATACACACACGATCAGATGGATTCTATTGGGAAAGCACCAGCTGTGAACGAATGGAACTCGAGAGACAGACTAGCTTATCACATTGATACAGAGCTGACGAAATCTCCAAGTCAGTTGAACCCGCCACACTGATCCATTTGTTGCTGCCATCATTGAGCGTGCGCGTTAACGACAAGTCTACCTAGAAAAACTCCTGAGAAGGAACCTAAAAACAGCAACTGTTTCTTTGTGGAATTGAATTTACACTCGTCGGTAGATGTATGGCTGTTTCCACATTGTGACTTATCTGATTCAGTGAATGATGCACTTTGATCTCTGATTGCACAATGTGACTGGTGGTAGCCAAATTGACCTAAATGGTGTTCCCCGTTTGTAAGTCGATTGACTGTCTACTGATGACATCATGGAGAATTGATTAGAATTTACTGAGTGACCCAACTGATTGAATGAACTGACCGCTTTCACCCAAAAGTTTGCACTCTGTGAGGCAAATGGGGGTCACCGTAACACATCTCCATTTCATATGCATTCAGACTAACAACAAGAGAGCTAGGAGTACAATTCGTGTGTGCTTTCTTTTTAAACGAACTAATTGGCATGTTCGAACAGGGACGAGTTAACAGGTTGGCACAGAACATTAACGGTAACAAACATCATGAAAGTAAGAGTGAGCATGGATCCTGGAGACATGCACATGAAAACCGCATGAGAACTTGTACGTCTGATGGGAATAGTCATTAGAATAGCCCGAGCGACAAAAAAACGTCTCATATCCGGCACAGAATACATATGCACATGTTAGTGTATCTGCGTTCGGTATATTTTTTGCTCCATCAAATTGTGAAATGTTGAGATTGGATTGGATTGTCTCAGCCCCCAACGTCACTCTGACTAGGTAAGTATACAAATTTTGCTATTTTAAGCAACCGCATCTCACCTAGCGGAAGCGTCATGAAGGAAGTGTTAATACCCACACAGAAGGCTCGATTGGTATCTGCTAACTTGAGATATCTGTGGCACCGTCGCAACATGCGGCTGTCTGTAGAGGGTATATGCTGCAGCAGTTCGGCCAGTGCTGCTCTATGGTTCAGAGACTTAGTCATTACGGAAACAGGATCAAAATAGATTTTTAGTGTCCGAACACTACTGTCTACGTCGCATTGCACGAGTCTGATAGCGCAACCAAACAGGCAAGGCTGAGGTTGGGAGTAGAGTTTCAGGTTATCGCAATCGTCCACTGGACCTGCATTGACTAGGCTGGTTAGAACATGTGCTACGCATGTCACAAAATAGGTTACCACGGTGAGCGATGTTTGCCGAGGCGAGAAGCGGTTGTAAAAACGTCAAGGGTGATTAAACTAAACTCACCGTGAGACTGGGTCACATAGGCCCTAGATGCAGACACTGAGGTCATGATCACTGGTGGTTAGAGACACCGAGCGATATGGTCGCAAACAATGGCTCTCATTATTCTTGCAACCTCAGTCTATATGAATTCTCTATCTTCCCATTAAATCCAATCCTCATTCTTCCCCCTTATCCAAATGGGCAGTCAAAAGAGAGCGACCGAAACCGGATCACGAAAAAGCAGGGTTATTGGTTATTATTCCAACTTATCTACGAGTTCAATTCAGCTTCGACCATTGCATTCCCGACACTATTTACGTACACTACAACGGTTTGTCTGCATACGCATCATCTCACATCTTTGCCTTTGAAAACAGGATGTTCTACATTCGGTCAACCGAAAATAAAACCGTTAGCTACCTCATAAAGAGAGTTATGATCCACGTTTGATACTAAATTCGTTAATTTACCTGCGCATTTTCCGAATTCACGGGGGGCTGCGGTTCGCTTGCAATCTCGGATATTGGGCCATTCTCTATCGGCTTAGCTTGAACCGCAGACAATAAAGCCATAGCGTGATCCGGTGCGGTCATGGCAGGTTTACCGGTTGGAAGTGTACCCGGTGCCCCCGGGGGACGGGCACGGGTGGCTACCAACTGCAGAATATCCGGTGCGGGGAGAGAGGGTGCTACCGGTTGACGTAAGGGACCACTCTCGGGAGCACCGGGTACTACTGTTGTGCTCCCCCCGACTGCCGGTCCACTGGCAGGACCGGTGGAGAGCAAGGCCTCGGCAGTCATACGATCTAACGCCTCGCGGAACTCAGCATCTTCCGGACAGTCTATATAACGTGGCTTTAGGCCCATTCGGACTGCCATTTCCTCTTCGTCTTCGAAGGGATCATCAGCTTGATCTTCATCCGAAGTGCAGAGTTTCTGTTTCTGAAAATGAAAACCGGATATCAGTTTGTAAAATCAGAAGTACTGCACTTTTATAAGAAAAGGTTACCTTGCATTTAACTATGCAAAGAGATCACAAATAAGATCCAATGGAAACAATACTTATCATAGTAAAGGACTGGACGGCCCAACCAACGTAATCCATAGAGGTCGACCACTTGCTCCAGTGGGCGACCGCGGTTACCCAAAACTCTGTGCCTAACCTCAACATTGCTTTTTTATCCAAATGGGCAACCAAAACCGGCGCACAAAAGTGCATGGTTAATGGTTGTAAAAACTGAACTGAACTGAAAAATTCAAATTTTCCAAAACCCACGTTAATTAGTTTGTGTAAGTGACCTACGGTTAAATGCTAATTGTTGTAAGCCCAATAAACTATTGGTTAAAAACTTTTTTTCTTTATCTGTTTGCCGTATGAATGTATAATCAACTTCCCATGAGAAATAACAGCCACTACGCAGGGACAAGATGATGCTTTTATCTTACTACTGTCATAGGAAGCAGACGATAATACGTGATATCCGAAATGTATGTAATATTGAATGGAATGAGCGGGTAGTAACTTAGAAGTAAGCCGTCGGGTGTTTGGGAATGTTTTGGGAATATCGAACACGCGTTCACTATCGCATCGAATTCAGTTCGATAGGCTACGTTCTTTAAGACACGTTTTTCGCATGTTCGACGGTTGCAGTGACTGTTACGAACTGAAGAAAGCCAGGTGGAGGCCAGAAAATGACGTGGAGACGAAGCATGAAGAATTCCAAGAGCCAATAGGCTTCAGTTTTTCAGTTTGAACCACTAATTAACCATGT